AAAAAAAAAAAAAAAAAAAAAATTACACTTTCCTTCTTAGTTGACTCACGCCAGTGGTGTGTTTTGGTACATGTATACGTATCATCAGATCAGGGTAGTTCCCATATCCATCTCCTCATACGTGTGTCACTGTTGGGAACATTCAGAATCTTCTCCTCGGATGGGAGGAGGGAGAGAGTCGGGAAAACACAGCTGTCGGGTACTGTGCTTAGTAACTGGGAGAGGAAAAAAATCTATACACCAAACGCCTGTGACACTTTACCTATATAAGGAACGAATATACATGTACCCCTGAACCTAAATGTTACAAAAACTCTCTCCTCTAGCTTTTAGAAAACACGATAAGGTGCCGTTAACCGTATTCAATTTACAATGCTACAGAACACCAGCAGCCATTCCTTCCCCAGGTACAATTTGGTATCCATTAGCTAACCTCTTTTCATCCACCTCCTCCAATTAAACCATTTGTTTAGATCGTGAAATAAATGTATATAGAGAGAATATATTTCTATATCAATAAAAATTGATTTTTACTGTTACAGGTTAAATTGTCTCAACCCTAAAAAAAAAGGTAAAGTCCTAACCCCTTTATAGGGTAACAAAATAAGGTTGTTGCAGATGTTATTAGTTAAGTTGAGGTCACCCTGGAGTGGGTGGGCCCCCTAGCTTAACGACAGGTGTCCTTATATGAAAAAGGCCACCTGTGGCTGGGTGTGGTGGCTCATGCCTGTAACCCCAGCACTTCGGGAGGCCAAGGTGGGTGGATCACCTGAGGTTAGAGTTTGAGACCAGCCTGGCCAGCATGGTGAAAGCCGGTCTCTACTAAAAATACAAAAATTTGCTGGGAGTGGTATGGTAGCAGGTGCCTGTAATCCCAGCTACTCGGGAGGCTGAAGCAGAAGAATCATTTGAACCTGGGAGGCAGAGGTTGCAATGAGCTGAGATCGAGTCACTGCACTCCAGCCTGGATGACAGAGCGAGTCTCTATAACAACAACAACAAAAATGGCCACATGAAGACAGAGACAAACAGAATGCAATGTGACGATAAAGTCAGAAAATGGAATTACATAGCTGCAAACCAAAGAATGACAGATTGCCAGCAAACCACTGAAGCTAGAAAGAAGTAAGGAAGGGTACCCCTGGGTTTCAGAGAGCACCACCCTCCCAACACTGATTTTAGACATCTAGGCTCCAGAACCATGAGACAGTAGACTTCTGTTGTTTTAAGGTACCTAGTTCATGGTATGTTGTCATGCCAGCTCAAGGAAACCAGTAAACTATTAAAAAAAATTTGATGTGATTTTTGCACTTGGAGTACAGGTGCAGGAATATATCCTTGGGATCAGCAAATGTTAAAAGATTACCTTATTTGCTCTCTCTCTACACTTAGGTGTTTTTCCTGATCTGTTCAAGATTTGTGCACATTATACAAATTTATACCTCATATTTTACCCTAATGCTTCAGGGTTTATGTTCTAAAAATAAGAAAAAGCTTTCTTGATTAACCATACTATGAAAAAAGACAGATTAATAGAATATTATTTAATGTACAGACCTTACACTTATGGATTTAAAAAAAATTTTTGCATTTGTTTTCACAAGTGGACTGAACATGGAAATTCCTTCACTAAACTTTTAAAACAATTTTACTTTAAGTTCTGGGTTACATTTGCTGAATATGCAGGTTTGCTACATAGGTATACATGTGCCATGGTGGTTTGCTGCACACATCAACCCTGATGTAAACCTGTTTTCATTATCCAGTGTATGCCTCAGTTTGAGAATGTGTGTTTGTGCTCTCTCACTTTCACATACATACACACGCTTGCTTACACTTGTACATCCACACACATGTTCTCTCTCCTAGTTTGTGGAAAAATAAATTTTTATTTAAATTTTGACGTAATTTGCTGATGAAGATGTTTGAGCCTGAAGTCTTCTCTGGCGGAAGAGTTTCACTGGTTTAAAAAAAAAAAAAAAGCTTTCAGAACTTCACGTACACAAAATAGGTGGAAGTTGTCATTTTCTAGGAATTTATATATTTGAACAAAACTATCAGTTTTATTAGCATAAAAATGTTAATAGTCTCTATTTTTGATATCTGTAGGATATGTAGTGATGCCTCCTCTTCTGTTCCTGGTACTTGTCACTCATGTCTCATTCATCAGACTTGTTTGGGTAACCCCAAAGTTTGTATTTTCAAAGAATCTACTTTTTACTGAGTCTTGTAATTTTTATTTCATTGATTATTTTTTCTACTTTTGGTGTGTTTTGCTTTTTAATTAAATGTGTAGTTAGCTTATGAATTTTTGACCTTCCTTTTTTATACTTTTGAAGTAGCACATTTTTCTAGGTCCTGATTTAGCTGCATTTCACTCACTCTATATGTAGCATTAAATGTTCAGTTCAAAATCTTATATCCAATATTTTTATTTATTGGTTTCTTACAATTATGTTTCTTAATTCTGGAAAGTCATTTCATTGTCAATTTCTGACATAGACTATGATTAGAATATTCTGTGTAATTTATATTATTTGAAATATATTGAAACTTGCCTTGAGGATCAGTATATGGCTGACACTTGTAGATGATTCCTCTGTCTTCATGTGTTTTTTCCAGTTACTGGATAAAAAGGTCTGTGTCCACAAGGTAAAATTCATCCATTGTCTTTAAACCCTTTATTTTCTTTTTAACTTGTTTATTTAATTATTGAAACAAATTGATAAAGTATTCTGCTATGATTGTGTACTTACCTAATTCTCCTTATGGTGCTGACCCTTGGGGTGTGTGTGTGTATGTGTGTATTTTTTTGAGACAGTGTCTTGCTCTGTCACCCAGGCTGGAGTGCAGTGGCAGCTCTCAGCTCACTGCAGCCTCCATCTTCCGGGTTCAAGTGATTCTTCTGCCTCAGCCTCCCGAGTAGCTGAGACTACAGGTGCACACCACCATGTCTGGCTAATTTTTTTAGTATTTTTAGGAGAAACAGGGTTTCACCATGTTAGCCAGGATGGTCTTGAACTCTTGACCTCACGATCTGCCCGCCTCGGCCTCCCAAAGGGCTGGGATTACAGGCGTGAGCCGCCACATCCCTGCCCCCAGTTTCCTTTTTATGTGCCCAGACCTCATCTAGGATCCCCCATTATGTTTCGTTGCCGTGTCTCCATTGGCTTCTCTACACTAGGACTGCTCTCAGGATTTCCTTGTTTTCAGTGATCTTGAAAGTTTTGAGAAGCACTAATTGGGTATTTGTGGGCCACCCTTCATGTTGGGTTTATGTGATGTTTATGTCATGGTGAGACTGGGGCTTTGGGGAGGAAGACCGTGGAGGAAAGGTGCCCTTCTCGTATCATACGCTGTCACCATCCCCTCCCACCCACATTCACCTTGATCTCCTGACTTAGGTGTCTGACTGGCTTCTGCACTCTGAAGTTATTCCCTACTCCTTTTTTAACACTGTTTTCTTTAAAAAGAATTCCCTATCTGTAACCCACATGATATGGTTTGGCTGTGTCCCCACCCAAATCTCATCTTGAATTGTAGCTCCCATAATTCCCACATGTTGTGGGAGGGACCTGGTGGGAGGTCATGGAGTCACTGGGTGGTTTCCTCCATACTGTTCTTGCGGTAGTAAAGAAATCTCATGAGACCTGATGGTTTTATAAGGGGAAACGCCTTCCCTCGGTCCTCTTTCTCTCGTCCACACCATGTAAGGTGTGCTTTTTGCCTTTTGCCACGATCGTGAGGCCTCCGCAGCCACATGGAGCTGTAGGTTCGTTAAACCACCTTTTTCTTTATAAATTACCCAGTCTCAGGTTATGTCTTTATCAGCAGCATGAGGACAGACTCAAACACCACACTTAAGACGTGGGGAGTTAGGCTGCCTCTCCTCAAAGGGGAAGAATCCATCCATATAACCTACTTGGAATTCTTCCGCTTCTTGCTCAAGTTGTTACAGTTTTAGCTATTAGGGGCTCTTTCGGTCTGCCCTGGGTTTCTTTTGTCAGGAAGTGGTCTTAGACACCAAGATCTGATCTGGACACTGGGTGTCCCGATTGCCACTAGGGTATCTGTATGCTTCCAGGCCCTTGCCAGAGTGTGACCGTAACTAAATACCGCAGATGAAGACTCTGTGTCCAGGGATCGTTGCTATAGCTCATCACAAAATCGGTCAGACTGCATGGCTTATCCACAGAAATTTGTTTCCTCATAGTTGTGGAGGCTGGAGGTTCAAATCAAAGTCCAGCAGGGTCCACTCCTGGTGCAGACTCTTTCTGGATTGTACACAGCTGCCTTCTCTCTATGTCCCCACATAATAGAGTCGGAGAAAGAGAGCCAGGGAGGGACTTCCAGTTGTTCCAGTACCATTCATTGAAGAGACGATCCTCCTTTGTTGCGCCTTTGTCAAAATCAGTTCACTACATTTGTGGGGCATGCCTCCTCTATTGTTTGCTGAGAAAAATGTAATTTCTGTATTTACTTGTAACAATGTATTTTCTGTATTTGCACTTTAATTTCTATTTGTAAATGCAATTTCCATATTTACAGTAATTTTCTATATATAAATGTAAAAATGTTATTTATTTACAGTGTAATTTCTGTATTTACAATGTCATTTCTATATTTAAATATAAAAATGTGATTTCCATATTTACAGTGCAATATTTGTATTTAGATGTAAAAATGTAATTTCTAGATTTACAATGTCATTTCTACATTTAAATGTAATTTCTAAAAAATGTAAAGCCTATATTTGCTTGGATTTTGAAGACGTGTCAGGGCACTATAGGTTAGGATTCTCAACTGGATTATTTTATCTACAATTCTTCCATCTATTAGTGAGACTTTTCATGACCAGTTCAATGAGAAGGTGAGATGAACCTAACTTTCCGCCCTCATTCCCATGCCCCCAAATCTAGCAAGATACTATGCAAGAAATCAGTAATCTTGATCCATTTATTTGTAATAACTGGGCACTGTCCTGAATTTTCTGCAGGTTTTATTTATTTATTGCTCCTGGTCACTGTCTCTTTGAGGACTGTTATCTCTGCTTTGGACAAGATGGCAGCCTCTTTCTTCTCTGATTTTGGCCTTATGTGGTATCTGGAGGAGCTCAAAAAGGAGGAGTTCAGAAAATTTAAGGAACATCTCAAGCAATTGACTTCACATCTTGAACTCAAGCCAATTCCCTGGGCTGAAGTCAAAAAAGCATCCCGGGAAGAACTTGCAGACCTCTTGATCAAGCACTATGAAGAGCAGCAGGCTTGGAACGTGACCTTAAGAATCTTTCAAAAGATGGGTAGAAAGGATCTTTGCGTGAAGGTCACGAGAGAGAGGACAGGTGAGTGAGGCTGGGAAGAGGCAAGGCTTCTTAAAATCAAAACTGGTCCTAATTTTGCTAAACGATCTCTGCCTATCTACAACAGGACCAGAATGTGGAATGTGCTATGGGAAAATATTATCTTTTTTTTTTTTTTTTTTTTTTTGAGGTGGAATCTCACTTTGTTGTCCAGGCTGGAGTGCAGTGGTGAAATCTTGGTTCACTACAACCTCCACCTCCCAGGTTCAAGGTATTCTCTTGCCTCAGCGTCCCGCCACTTCACCCAGCTGATTTTTCATACTTTTAGTAGAGACAGGGTTTCACCATGTTAGCCAGGCTGGTGTTGAAGTCCTGATCTCAGGTGATCCACCCACCTTGGCCTCCCAAAGTGCTGGGATTACAGGCATGATTCACCACGCCTGACCTGAAAATACTATCCTTTTAGGCAGGAAACGTTCTCTTAGACCTGGTGGTTATATGTGCGTAAAATGTGAGTGGCTATCATGTCCTAACCTGTATGGTACCTTTATCTGGGTCACCAGTGATTTTTACCCTAAGCTGAGAACTTGGAGCCAAGCCAGAAACTCTCTGAGGTGAGGCTGTGTCATAGGAACCATGCACTTGACTTACTTGCAAAAGCAGTTAACACCTGCCATAGGGGATGCAATGAACAGAGATTGACTGGTGTAACTGTGTGTTTAGCAAGCGGAAGTTCCTGTCAGAGAAGCTATGATCTATAAGCAATGTGGCTTTTAGGGTCACGTCTATATTTATCGCGTCACAAGGATTGTTGACTGTTACTTTGCACATTTTCAATATCGGTGTCAGGAGACAGCTCTTAGGACTTACTGTTTAATTCTTTTCCTTTGCGTTTGTTCAGCTGTCCCTGCTTCAGCCCGGTTGTGGATTTGTTTTCATCCTGATTGGGACTCTTCGATATTCTCGCATCTGTTTGTTTGTTTTTGAGACAGAACCTCGCTCTGTTGCCCAGGCTGGAGTGCAATGGTGCCATCTTGACCCACTGCAATCTCCGCCTCTTGGGTTCAAGTGATTCTCCTGAATCAGCGTCCTGAGTAGCTGGGATTACGGGCACCTACCACCATGCCCAGTTAATTTTTGTATTTTTAGTAGAGACAGGGTTTACCATGTTGGCCAGGCTGGTCTCGAACTCCTGACCTCGTGATTCTCCTGCCTCGGCCTCGCAAAGTGCTGGGATTACAGGTGTGAGCCACCGTGCCCGGCTGTGTCTGAGGTTCAGTAACATTCTTCAGTTCTCAGTTTCAGCCACTGTATACTTCATTCTTCTGTCTCTTCTTCTGGGACTCCAGTTAGACATCCTGGACTTTCTTGTTTGTTCAAGATAGAGTCTGGCTCTGTCACGCAGGGTAGAGTGCAGTGGTACCATCATGGCTCACTGCAGCCTCAGCCTCCTGGGCTCAAATGATCTCAAACCTCAGCCTCCCAAGTAACTGGGACTACAGGCCCTGTGCCACCATGCTTGGCTAATTGCATACCTGGCTAACTTAAAAACATTTTTTTCGTAGATACAAGCCCTCGTTATATTGCCCAGGCTGGTCTTAAACTCCTGGGCTCAGGTGGTTCTCCTGCCTTGCCCTCCCAAAATGCTGGGATTACAGGCATGAGCCACGATGTTGGCCTACACTCTCTCTCTCTTTTTTTTTTTTTTTTTTTTTTTTTTCCAGTCTGGCCCTGCTGCTGAGGCTAGAGTGCAGTGGCACGATCTTGGCTCACTGCAGTCTCCACCTCCCAGGTCCAAGTGATTCACCTGCCTCATCCTCCCGAGTAGCTGGATAGCTGGATTACAGATGCCTGCCATCATGCCCAGCTAATTTTTGTATTTTTACTAGAAACAGGGTTTCATTATGTTGGACAGCCTGGTCTTGAACCCCTGACCTCAGGTAATCCACCTGCCTCAGCCTTCCCAAGTGCCGGGATTATAGGTATGAGCCACCTTGCTGGCCTAGACTTTTGTGTTTGTTTTTTTGAGATGCTTTTTGCCCAGGCTGGAGTGCAGTGGTGCGATCTTGGCTCACTGCAGCTTTCATCTCCTGGGATGAAGAACAATCAAGTGATTGTTCGGCCTCAGCCTCCCGAGTAGCTGGAATTACAGGCATCTGCCACCACACCTGGGTAATTTTTGTATTTTTAGTAGAGACAGCGTTTCACCATGTTGACCAGGCTGGTCTTGAACTCCTGACCACAGGTGATCTGCCCGTCTCAGCCTCCCACAGTGCTGGGATTCCAGGCATGAGCCAGTGCGCCCAGCCAAGGCCCTTACACTGTGTCCCACGTGTCCTTTCTCTACATTCTCATGTCTTTGTCTCTGTGCTTTAGTCTAGGTATTCATAACTAATTTTCTTCTTCCCTGATTCCCTATTCAGTGAACACGTCCATCTGTCGATTTCTTATATTTAGTTAACATGTTTTATTTATGCAGTTTGCCTTTTTCACAGATTTCCTTCTTTTCTTGAATATTCCATCTTCTATTTTTTGAGCATTTTAAATTATTTTAAAATCTGCGTAAAGATTTTAACATTTATAGGTCTCTTTCTACTCTTTTTTTCTTTCTTTCTTTCTTTCTTTTTTATTAGACTCTTTGTCTTTGGTCATACAGTAGTCTCCTAGTATGCCTGGTAATTTTGAGTGCCAGATTTTGAATATGAGACATTGAATACATTGAGGATCTGGAATGTCTTGTTTTCAGTGAAATAGGAATTGCTTCTGGTAGTAGTTAGGGGGAAATTTTCTTAATATTGAGGATTAAAATAACGGGTTTGAAATAAGATAATTTGAGAGTTTCCATTTTTGGCAGTGCTACCCTTTCTTGCACATTTTCTTGACTTGGGACATTACTTGGGAAAAACCTTTCCCTGGTCCAAGTTTAGTTGGTTTGTTTTGAGACAGAGTTGTGCTCTTTCACCCAGGCTGGAGTGCAGTGGCGCGATCTTGGCTCACTGCAACCTGTCTCCCCTGGGTTCAAGCAGTTCTCCTGCCTCAGCCTCCTGAGTAGCTGGGATTATAGGCACCTGCCACCAAGCACAGCTAGTTTTTGTATTTATAATAGAGACGGGGTTTCACCATGTTGGGCAGGCTGGTTTCAAACTGCTGACCTCAGATGATCCACCTGCCTCAGCCTCCCAAAGTGTTAGGATTACAGGCATGAGCCACTGCACTTCACCCCTAGTCAAAATTTTTTAAATTCCTCCCTGTTTCCTAGAGTGTTTTGGTGTCATACGCCTGCAGTCTCAGCTACACCAGAAGCTGAGGCAGGAGGATCACTTGAGCCCAGGAGGATGAGGCTGCAGTGAGCTGTGTTTGCACCACTGGACTCCAGCTGGGGTAACAGAGTGAGACCCTGTCTCAAAAAAGTAATTTATATAAAGAAGAACATTCTTTGCACATAGAAATATTTTAGAATATTGCTAAAATAAAATGTCAGCAGGTCTACAGATAGATCTCCTGGTAGGTACTTAAACACTTTTTATCTCTTTTCACAGTTGGGTTGAGGTTATACCCACTTAATGCCCCTTAATGAGTAACCAGACTTGTCACAGAAATCTCCAGAACAGTTGAGAGGACTAGCAAAGTAGGAAGCCCCGGGGGAATGGGCAAACAGCTTACTAAGCTTAAGATGCTAATGGGATCGTCACCAATGTCAGGTGGGAGTTTCACCAGTTAGGGACTTCAGGGGACCGAAAGATTGGGGGAATCCCTTGCTCACCACGATAAGTTAAGGTAGCCTTACCTACCGTCACACCCAGCAGTTTGTGGGCACCACATTACGTCTTTCACCTCCATCCAATTAAATCCAGTAATAATTATGCAGGGGCATAGGGAAAATTTCCCGCCTACAACAACCCCCCACATCTCTAGTCCATCACTTGTGGAATATCGGCATCACACAAGTTACTCAAGGAACAGATAACTGTCAGGGAGTTTTGTGTTGCCGAAACTTTGGGGCTGGCCTGAAGGATCCAGCTCTAGGCTGGTGCTGCAGGGGCGACTCTAAGAACTGCGGCACCAGGGAGCGTCTGCGTCTCCTGCAGTGAGGAAAGTGGGAGATGGGAAGCGTTACAACTGTGGCTTTAGCGATACACCACGGCAGCTCCAATTCAGAAATCAGGAAGCTCACACCAGGGCTGCAGCTGCTTCAAATCGGTGACCACAGCAATTGGTTTTCGTTTTTTTTTTTTTTGAGACGGAGTTTCGCTCTTGTTACCCAGTCTGGAGTGCAGTGGCGCGATCTTGGCTCGCCACAACCTCCGCCTCCTGGGTTCGAGAACTTCTCCTGCCTCAGCCTCCTGAATAGCTGGGATTACAGGCACGCGCCACCATGCCCAGCTAATGTTTATTTTTTATTTTTTTTTATTTTTAGTAGAGACGGGGTTTCACCATGTTGGCCAGGATGGTCTCGATCTCTTGACCTCGTGATCCACCCGCCTCGGCCTCCCAAAGTGCTGGGATTACAGGCTTGAGCCACCGCGCCCGGCCACTTTTGTTTTTGAGACAGACTTGCTCTGTTGCCTAGGCTGGAGTACAGTGGTGCGATCTCGGGTCACTGCAACCTCCACCTCCCGGGTTTAAGCAATTCTTCTGTCCTGGCCTCCTGAGTAGCTGGGATTATAGGCCTGTATCACCATGCACAGCTAATTTTTATATTTTAAGTAGAGGCGGGATTTCACTATGTTGGCCAGGCTGGTCCCGATCTCTTAGCCTCAGGTGATCCACCTGCCTCAGCCCCACAAAGTGCTGGGATTATAGGCGTGAGCCACTGTGCCTGGCCAACTATAGAAACTGGAGACAAGGCTTCTGTTACAGAAAAGCCCAGCATGTCTGCGTTCACAGAAGCTGGCAGCAAGACAGGCGGTAGACTCCACTCCCCTTCTCCACAGGCGGAAGATAGATTTCACACCCCTTTCCCTCCAGTGTTACGAGAATGGGTGCAAATCGCAGAGCTGAATCCGTGCCTTGATTGTAGCCAGGAGGGTCTGTGGGATGTGTAGGGCTTGGTCAGCGTGTTTGCTGGGTTTTTCGATTGGTTTTTTTCTGAGCATTCTGCCATTGAAGGAAAGCTCACTGGCATAAAGTCAGAATGAATGCTAGGTACCGTTCTTTCGTTACCACGCCTTGTCTCCCGTCTGGAGGCGACTGCCTAGCTGAGGTCCTTCTTAGGCAGACTTTCAGACCTAGTCCCTACATGGGAAGCATGTATCGGTTTCTAAATACCTTGTTTACATGAATGAGTACGGGCTGTAGATGCTGTCCTGTTCTTTATCCACGTAAAGACATTATTCCATACTTTTAATATCTATGCAATCGTGAGTTCATAAATTATTTAACCAGTCTTAATAGTCACACAGTTATATTCCAGTTATTTTGATATTTTAGTAGCAATGAATACGTGTGTGTGTATCCGTCAAAAGCAGAATTTGGCAAACTTTTTTTTTAAGGACTGAATGGCAAAGCCTTTATTAGGGCCAACATGTTGGGGAAATCTGGGGAAGCGAACAGTCACTGTCAACACCGCCGGTAATTATTCTCTCTTCCAATGAATGGTGACTTAGATTAATTATCAGATAAGGCAAAGCCAATTACAGTCAGTCACCCAGAGCTGAAATTAGGTCGTTCGTGACAGCAGCATGAAAGTCACCATTTTCATTGTTACGGATTTGTGTAGATGACCGCATGGTTTCCGTTGGAGGCTGTGTGGGCCGTACCGTGTCTCACAGCTACTCAGCTCGGCTGTTGAGCCAGGAAGGCACCTGTTCCCATACACCAGTGAACCGCGTAGTGAGCTCTAATGAGACTTTATTGACAAGAGCAGACTGACCGGGTTTGGCCTGGGGGCCACAGTGGATAGACTCCTGGAGAGGTGCATTCTGAGAAGAAAACACGGCAGGGACGAAGCATGTATGCAGGAATGTTTAACTCTGTGGGTTTTTTTTTTTTTCCCTCCTCTCGCCCTCACTGACTCAGGGTATACGAAGACCTATCAAGATCACGCAAAGCAGAAGTTCAGCCGCTTGTGGTCCAGCAAGTCTGTCACTGATATTCACCAGTACTTTCACCAGGAAGTCAAACAGGAAGAATGTGACCATTTGGACCGCCTTTTTGCTTCCAAGGAAACCGGGAAACACCCACGTACAGTGGTCATTCAGGGAGTGCAAGGGATTGGGAAGACGACGCTCCTGATGAAGCTGATGTGGGCCTGGTCGGACAGCAGGATCTACCGGGACAGGTTCCTGTACGCCTTCTACTTCTGCTGCCGAGAAATGAGGGAGTTGCCAGCCGTGAGCTTGGCTGACTTGATCTGCAGGGAGTGGCCCGACCCTGCCGCTCCTGTAACAGAGATCCTGTCCCAGCCAGAGCGACTCCTGTTCGTCATCGACAGCTTCGAACAGCTGGAGGCCGACGTGAACCAGCCCGACTCGGATCTGTGTGGCGACTGGAAGGAGAAGCGGCCGGTGCAGGTGGTCCTGATCAGTTTGCTGAGGAAGAAGATGCTCCCGCAGGCCTCCCTGCTGGTCGCCGTCAAACCCACGTGCCCGAAGGAGCTCCGGGATCGGGTGGCGATCTCAGAAATATACGAGCCCCGGGGATTCAATGAGAGCGACAGATTGGTGTACTTCTGCTGTTTCTTTCAAGACCCAAAGAGAGCCATGGAAGCCTTCAGTCTCGTGAGAGAGAGTCAGCAGCTTTTTGCCATATGCCAAATCCCGCTCCTCTGCTGGCTCCTGTGTACCGCTCTGAAGCAAGAGATGCAGAGAGGGAAGGACCTGGCTGTGACCTGCCAGAGCACCACCTCTGTGTACGCCTCCTTCATCTTCAACCTGTTCACACCCGAGGGTGCCGCGGGGCCGACCGAGCAAAGCCAGCGCCAGCTGAAGGGCCTGTGCGCCCTGGCTGCAGAGGGCATGTGGACCGATACGTTTGAGTTTGGAGACGAAGACCTCAGGAGACACGGGATCGCGGATGCTGACATCCCTGCGTTGCTGGGCACCAAGGTTCTTCTGAAGTTCGGGGAGCGGGCGAGCTCCTACGCGTTCATCCACATGTGTATCCAGGAGTTCTGCGCCGCCATGTTCTACCTACTCAAGAGCCACCTTGACCATCCTCATCCAGCTGTTCGCAGTGTCGAGGAATTGCTAGTTGACAACTTTAAAAAAGTGAGGAGACCACATTGGATTTTTTTGGGGTGTTTTCTCATTGGTCTTTTAAATAAAAAGGAACAAGAAAAACTGAACGGGTTTTTTGGCTTCCAACTGTCCCGAGAGATAAGGCAGCAATTTGAGCAGTGCCTGAAGCGCTTAGGGGAGCAGGGGGATCTGCAGGGACAGGTGGATGCCTTGGCGATATTCTACTGTCTCTTCGAGATGCAGGAGCCTGCCTTTGTGAGGCAGGCCGTGAACCTCCTTCAAGAAGGTAGCTTCCATATTGTCGACAGCTCAGACTTGGTAGTTTCTGCCTACTGCTTAAAATACTGCTCCAGCTTGAGGAAGCTTTCTTTTTCCGTGCAGAATGTCTTTAAGAAAGAGGATACACACAGCTCTGTGTGAGTACACCCTATGGCATTTTCTCTCTTTCCAGAATCTATATTCCCACGTGGGTTTTGCTGATGGAGTGTTGAGTATAGGGTCATGGTTAGAAACTCACTTTTTCGATCAGGAAAACCTCAGCTCACTTCCTGGCCCAACTCTTCGGTAGCTCTGTGACTTTGTCTGTGAGCCTTGCCCTTTCGTGGCTGGAGTTGCCCCGTGACAGAAGTGGGAAAATTAGTAACAGTCGCGTTGTGAGTAGTGAATATGAGGACCTGGGTGAAGCGCGTCCTACTTTCTCAGTATTAGCTGATGAGTGCTTATAGTGGATGTCATTCTCACAGCTCCAGGCTCACTGTGTCTTGACCTCTCAGCTGCAAATCACTTTTGAAAACTTGCTCTAAAAAAAATCATACAGCCCAGGCGCAGTGGCTCATGCCTGTAACCCAACGCTTTGGGAGGCCAAGGCAGGTGGATCACCTTAGGTCAGGAGTTCGAGACCAGCCTGGCCAACATGGAGAAACCCTGCCTCTACTAACAATATAAAAATTAGCCTGGTGCGGTAGCACACGCCTGCAATCCCAGCTACTTGGGAGGCTGAGGCAGGAGAAACACTTGAACCCCGGAGGTGGAGGTTGCAGTGAGCCGAGATGGTACCATTGCACTCCAGCCTGGGTAACAAGAGCAGACTCTGTCTCAAAAAACAAACAAACAAAAAACAACTGTCTGGGTGTCAGTCAGGGTTTCTGAGCCTTGGCTCTGGTGATGTTTTGGGCCTGCTCTCCTGTGCGTTGTAGAATGTTGAGAAGCATCCCTGGCCTCTACTCACTAGATAGCAGAAGCACCTCTGCCACAATCTGTAACACCCAAAAAGACCTCTGGACATCCCCAAATGTCCCCTGGGGGGAAATGTCACCGCAGGTTGAGAACCGCCAACATGGGGTGAGCTTACCTGAAGGATCCCGTTCTTTCTGACTAAAGGCGGCTCTGCCTCGGAGGTGGTACCTGTGTGTGTCACGAGTGGCTCGTGTTGACGGCGTACCCGTGGACAGCTCATCCTTTCCTGTTGCCCACAGGTCGGATTACAGCCTCATCTGCTGGTATCACATCTGCTCTGTGTTCACTACCAACGGGTACCTCAGAGAGGTCCAGGTGCAGGACAGCACCCTCAGTGAGCCGGCCTTTGTGACCTGGTGTAACCAGCTGAGGCACCCCAGCTGTCGCCTTCAGAAGCTCGGGTGAGTTGAGGATCGGCCTTGACTCCAGTACGTCACAGGGATAACACGTTCATCCCACCTCCAGCTTCCAGTCGAGGCTAACTGCACAAGCAAAGAGTGAACACCCAGAGCGGTTCCTCAGCCTCAGTACTTACAGATGGTTCTTCATCATGCGGGCTGGTCATGCGTTGTAGGATGTTAAGATGCATCCCTGGCCTCCACCCTCTAGAAGCTGGTAGCTTCCCCTTGTCCATATACCCAAAATAGTGTCCAGACACTGCCAGTGGTCCCTCATAGGGGCCGAATCATGCAAGTCGAGAACCAGTGAGTCATGTCGTTGGGCTGTAAAATTGGAGAATGAGTTTGTTCTGGGGATAAGAGACAAACACAGGTGTTGAGGCTATGCTCTCGTTAGATGAAACTCATCCAAACTTTTGTTTTTGCAGGATAAATAATGTTTCCTTTTCTGGTCAGAGTAGTCACCTCTTTGAAGTGCTCTTTCATCAGCCAGATTTGAAATACCTGAGCCTCACCCTCACCAAACTCTCTCGTGATGATGTCAAGTCCCTCTGTGATGTGTTGAACTCCCCAGCGGGCAACATAGAAGAGCTAGCGTAAGTCTCCATGTGTATTGAGACCACTGATTGGATTTGGGAGAAGACTCTGTATTTCTTTTGCAGGGGGCGGGGGCCTGCATGTTTTTAATACATCAACTTTTTCCTTCTGTGATTTATACACAAACTTAGTCTCCTGAGAACTTGAATAGGGAAGTTAAAGTTTGTCAATTGTTGCAGCCATTTTGGAAAACTGTGCGTGTGTGTGCGTGTGTGTGTGTGTGTGTGTGTGTGTGCAGCTTTCATGGATTCCGGCAGATTATGTAACCCAGAAATTCCACCTGGAGGTGCATATTTGAAAGAGGGACCCATCTGAGTTTGCTAAGAGCCAGGCACTAAAGCATTCACAGCAGGTGGTCCTCACCTCTGAGAACTGGAAATACTGACAGTAAGTTAGATAAGAAACCTGTGGTTACCTGCTCCCATTCCATGAGAATGAATACTCTCAGCCATATGGAAACACTTGGATGAATCTTAGTGTTGATGACCAGGGGCCAGACTCGAGAGCGAAGCCTACAGCTTTATTCACGTAAATTTCAAAGATGGCCAAGCTCTGGTGTTGGAGATTCGGGCAGTATGTTGCTCCGTTCTCCTGTATGCTATTGAACCTCTCTTCTTCATAAATGACCCAGTCTCAGGTATGTCTTTATATAGTATGGTTCTGCAGGACGGACAGACTTCTGCTTGTGGGGAGGCCTCAGGAAACTTACAGTCATAGCAGAAGGCAAAGGGAAAGCAGACACGTTATACATGGGGGAGCAGGAAGAAGAGGGAAGGGAGAGGTGCTACACACTTCTAAACAGCCAGATCGCGTGAGAACTCTTATCGGAGCAACAGCACTAGAGATGGTGCTAAACCACTAGAAACCACCCCCATGATTCAGTCACCTCCCTCAGGCCCCTCCTTCAACACCAGGATTGCAGTTCGACATGAGGGTTGGGTGGGACACAGCTGAACCATGCCAGACAGCGGAAGGGGGTACAGGAGATGAATAACCTGCTGTTTCTTAACCTGGATACTGGTAACTCAGGTGCCTTGAATTCATGACAGTTCATTGGCTGGCACTTAACCATCGTGTGTACTTTCCAGTATGTATGTTTTGCTTCAAGTATTTTTTTTTGGGGGGCAATTAAATAGGGTTTCCTGTAATACCCTGTATTTATCTTCTTTGGTACCCACACATTCAAATACTTCTCTCTACTACTCTTCATCGGCCATTTTTCTGAGCTCGCATAAGCCAAACCCAAAAAGACCTAAACCCTTTTTTAAAATAACAACTTTATTGCCATATCTACATACCACAAAACATATACTTTTAAAGTATAATCGTATACTTGAAAATCAACAGTTGAGTGATCTTCATATATATTCCTAAGGATGTGCAACCATCATGACTATCTGGTTTCAGAACGTTTTCATTACCTCAAAAAGAAACCCCATGCCCACTAGCGTTTTCGCTCCTACTGCCTTAGCTCTCTGGTCCCTGGGAGATACTAATACACTTTCAGTCTTACTGGATTTTCCTATCCTGGGCATCTCATATAAGCGGAATCACATGTGCTCTTTGTGAATGGCTTACTTTAACTTACCAAAGTGTTTTCAAGGTGTATCCAAATTGTACCGTGTATCAGTACATTATTCCTTTTCTTGGCTAAATAATATCCCATTGTATAGATATTTGTCATTTTGTTCTAGTCATCTGGATGAACATTGGGGTTGTTACCACCTTTTAGCTATTCTGAATCGTGCTTTATGAACACTCATGTTTAAATACCTGCTTTCAATTCTTTTGGGCTTTTATAACCAGAAGTAGAGTTGCTGGGTTATATAGTAATTCCATATTTAACTTTTGGCAAAACCACCAATTTATTTTCCTCTGTGACTGCACAATTCTGTATTCTCACCAGCAATGTGTGAGAGTTCCGGTTTCTTCCCATCTTTGCCAATATGTATTTTTTATTACAGCCCTCCTAGTGCGTGTGAAGAAGCATCTCACTGTGGTTGTGATTTGCTTGTTCTGAGTGATTGACGCTGGTTGAGCATCCGCTCCTTTGCTCTTTAATCATTTGTATATCTTCTTTGGAGAAATATATATTCAAATCCTTTGCACATTTAAAGAAAACTTTTATTTTACATTCAGGGGTACATGTACAAGTTTATTATTTAGGTGAATTGCACATCATGGGGGTCTGGTGTGCAAATCATTTCATCACCTGTTAATAAGCGTAGCAGTTTTCTCTTCTTCACCTTCTTCCCACCCTCTGCTGTCAAGTAGGCCCTGGTGTCTTGTTTCCTCCTTCATGTCTACAATGTACTCAGTGTTTAGCTCCCGCTTATAAGTGAGAACATGTGATATTTGGATTTCTGTTCCGGTGTTAGTTTGCTAAGGATAGTGGCCTCCAGCTCCATCCATGTTGGTACAAAGGGTTTTATCTTATTCTTTTTATGGCTGTATAGTATTCCGTAGTGCATACGTACCACATGTTCTTTATCCAGTCCACTGTTGACGGGTATTTAGGTGAATAATGCTATGATGAGCATCCATGTGTCTTTATAGTAGAATGATTTCTATTCCTTTGGGTGTATACCCAGTAATGGGATTGCAGGGTTGATGGTAGCTGTGTTCTTTCAGAAATTGCTGAACTGCTTTTCATAATGGCTGAACTAATTTACGTTTCTGTAAAAATGTGTAAGTGTACACTCTTCTCTACAACCTCACCAGCGTCTGTTATTTTTTGACTTTTTAGTACTAGCCATCTGACTTGTGTGAGATGGTGTCTCATTGAGGTCTTGATTTGCACTTTTCTAATGATTAGTGAGCGTTTTTCATATGTGTGTTGGCAGCACCTTTGCACATTTTTAATTGGGTCGTTTGCCTTTTTGTTGAGTTGCAAGAGTTTTCTATTTTCTGATGACAAGTTATATACAAGACATACTTTGTGATTATTTTCTCCCATTCTATGAGTTGTCTTTTCACTTTCTTGATGGTGTCCTTTGAAGCACAAAAGTTTCTATTTGATGAGGTGCACATGCATTTTTCCTTTGTCTCTTTTGCTTTTGGTGTCATCGCCGTGAAACCATTGCCTAACCAAAATTCATTCAGATTCACTTCTTTCTATCTTTCTCTTTCTTTTTCTTTCTCTCTCCTCTCTATCTCCTCTCTCTCTCCTCTCTCTCTCCACTCTCTGTCCTCTCTCTTCTCTCTCCTCTCTCTCTCCTCTTTCTCTCTCCTCTCTCCACACTCTCCTCTCTCTCTCTCTCTCTCTCTCTCTCTCTCTCCTCTCTCTTCTCTCTCCTCTCTCTCTTCTCTCCTCTCTCTCTTCTCTCTCCTCCCTCTCTCTCTCCTGTCTTCTCTCTCCTCTCTCTGTCTCCTCTCTCTTCTCTCTCCTCTCTCTCTTCTCTCCTCTCTCTTCTTTCTCTCTCCTCTCTTTCTCTCTTCTCTCTTTCTCTGTTTATTTATGTATTGAGATGGAATCTTACTCTGTTGCCCAGGCTGGAGTGCAGTGGCATGATCTTCGCTAAGTACAACCTCTGCCTCCTGGGTTCAAGTGATTCTCCTCCCTCAGCCTCCTGAGTAGCCAGGACTACAGGTGTGCGCCACCACACCAGGCTAATTTTTGTATTTTTAGGGGAGATGGGGTTTCATCATGTTGGCCAGGATGGTCTTGAACTCCTGACCTTGTGATCCACCCGCCTCAACTTCCCAAAGTGCTGGGATGACAGGCGTGAGCCACCGCACCTGGCCTATATTTTGTTTTTGTTTTGTGGCCGCCAGAGAGTAAGTAAGGAGAGTGGCTGAGTTAACACAGAACCGCAACTACTGGCCACACAAGTCAACTCCAGCCACCAGAAAAGGAGCCCTCTTGGACTCGGGTTCAAGGCTGCTTCCACGCTCTTTGAGGAGCTATTACTTGAGCGAAGACCCAAATGATAGGGATGTGTCTGACCACAGGCCGGAAAAAGAGCATTCTACTTGGGGTGCACACACGCAGGTTACCCCCAGTTCGGTAAAGGAGCTGGGGGAGATGAGTGTGGGGAGGATCGAACACGAGTAATACCTTACGAGCGAAACCTGGTGTCATCAAGCAACCGAAGAGCACCAGGGTGTCAGGGACACAGGGACTTGGGAACAGGTAGGAGCCTTGGGCATCGTGGTGTGTGTTTTGGGGTTTTCGCCAAGTGCAGGGAGGTAAGTTGCTGGGGAAGGCTGAGCCGAGCATGGATGTGACTGAGACTGTGAGTCTCAGGCTGGCTGTCACTGTACCACGGAGACCGGCTGGAAAGGGGTCAGGAACAGAGTTGGGAGGACTGAGTTTCTCAAGGATGGCAAGTGCAGGCTTTCCCGACTCCCCTAGGATCCGTGGAGGAGCGGGTCTGGGAACCAGAGACCAGCAGACCGTGACATGTTCCCTTCCTACAGGCTGGTCAGTTGTGAACTCTCACCAGTGGATTGTGAAGTCTTTGCCTTCGTTCTGACCAAGAACAAGAAGCTCAAGTATCTGAACGTATCCTGCAACCGCATAGACGAGGGTGTGCGCCATCTGTGTGAAGCCCTGTGCCGCCCAGACACGGTCCTGACATACCTGATGTGAGTGGGTGTTGGGGGCGCTGTGGTGGCAGTTCAGGCTTTGGCCTGTTGACTATGATCTGCTCATTGATGGAGCCCACACAGCAGAGGTTTAAGGCTCACACTTGGCTGGGTATAGTGGCTCACGCCTGTAATCCCAGCACTTTGGGAGGCCGAGGCGGGCAGACCACGAGGTTGGGAGTTCGAGACCATCCTGGTCAACGTGGGGAAACCCCGTCTCTACTAAAAATACAAAAAATTAGCTGGGCGTGGTGGCGTATGCCTGTAATCCCAGCTGCTCGGAAGGCTGAGGCAGGAGAATCGCTTGAACCCAGGAGGCGGAGGTTGCAGTGAGCTGAGGTTACGCCACTGCACTCTAACCTGGGTGATGAGAGCGAAACTCTGCCTCAAAAAAAAAAAAAAAAAAAAAAAAAAAAAGAGAGGGGGTGTTTTCAGATAAGCCAGAACTTCATCTCAGTTGGGGAGGTTGTAAGATTGTAGAAATACCACCCTCAGTGTGGGGCGAAGCATGACACTTCCCTCTTCCCTCTCCTCCTCTTCTCCTCGGGTTTTTGTGCCCATAGGTTGGCTTACTGTCACCTCAGCGAGCAGTGCTGGGAGTACATCTGTGAAATGCTTCTGCGTAACAGCAGTCTGCGCCACATAGATCTCGGCGCTAATGTGCTGAAGGATGAAGGTCTGAAAACCCTCTGCAAGGCCTTGAAACGCCCAGACTGCCGCCTCGATTCGCTGTGGTAGGCCTCTTGCCATTTCTTTGAAGACCAAGCCATCTTTTCAAGGGTTTGCATTGCTGAGAAGGGGCACCTGGAACTGGAGAGGGCCGTAGTGTCTGTGCCTGGGAACGTGAAGGTTAAAAACTGGCCTCAGTTTCTTGTAGAGAGGTTCACGTAAACAAATCTTCACCTTTAATACGTTGCAAATACTTCTCCACTGGAATGCAGGTAGGGGAGTGAGAGAGCCAGAATTATGTCTGGGACCTGAGGGGCAATTTTATGGCTAAGATGACATTTGGTATGTATTCTACAACACTTCATTTGCACCTGATGAATATATTTCATCAGGTGTAAAAATAAAGCCAAAATTCCAGATAGAAGGGTAAAAGATGAAGGTGGGAGATCCAGAAATAACATGTGAGAATGAACGTGCAAATACTTGAATTCTTAAAAATACTTTATTTTTGCACCTGATGAATACATTTGAATACACCTGGAATTCTGATAGCTTCAGTTTATGCAATACTTATAAAAAAAGGGAGGAGGACAGGAGCATATGTATGCATTTGTGTCTATTTTTTTAATCACAAATGTCACTGAAAGAAGCAGAATTATAGGTTGTCTGTGAGAACCGGAACTGGGAAGCTGGGAGATACAGGCCAGGAGGGAGATTTACGAATACATTTCATCAGGTGCAAAAACAAAGCCAGAATTCCAGGTAGAAGGGTGAGACGTGAAGGGTGGAGATCCAGAAATGACATGTGAGAATTAACGTGGATAACATAGAGAATGCTTTAGAAGGGAATCAAAGGTAGCGTGAGAGAAGCAGGAAGGAGACAGGGAAAAGACTTAATCTCACATCATCAGACAGAGAAATATTTGGGTGACCCTGTAGCAGTGGTGACAGGGTTTTGGAGTGACCGGTTAGGATAACATTTCATTATGCTCTTTCCCCGAAAAATCCAGAGACTTGGGATATTTGGCAGTGTGATTTTACCTAATCCATTAGGAAATCAGAGTTGAGAATTTTGTATTCCTCACTTGAAGAGTGTCTTAAATAATGTAACAAAAACACCAGATGCTTTCTTTCTCTGACAGTGGTGGGTTAGGCTATCTGGGCCAGTATTTGAAACCGAAAGACACCAAAACTGTCAGATATAATTTTTTTTTTTTTTTTTTTTGAGACGGAGTTTCGCTCTTGTTACCCAGGCTGGAGTGCAATGGCACGATCTCGGCTCACCGCAACCTCCGCCTCCTGGGTTCAGGCAATTCTCCTGCCTCAGCCTCCTGAGTAGCTGGGATTACAGGCACGCGCCACCATGCCCAGCTAATTTTTTTTTTGTATTTTTAGTAGAGACGGGGTTTCACCATGTTGACCAGGATGGTCTCGATCTCTCGACCTCGTGATCCACTCGCCTCGGCCTCCCAAAGTGCTGGGATTACAGGCTTGAGCCACCGCGCCCGGCCTAGATATAATATTTTTAAAAAAGTTAAAGCATCCAGAAGCTAAACAGAAATTTTCTTAAGTAGCAGGCTAAGTATATAGCACCTAAGGCTCTCCAAAAATCCTTAAGATGTATTTAAAAAAACACAACATAACCTTAAACTAGTACCCAACAGACTCCTGAAAGAAACAAGAAGAAATGGTCGGGCCGGGCGCGGTGGCTCAAGCCTGTAATCCCAGCACTTTGGGAGGCCGAGGCGGGTGGATCACGAGGTCGAGAGATCGAGACCATCCTGGTCATCATGGTGAAACCCCGTCTCTACTAAAAATACAAAAAATTAGCTGAGCATGGTGTCACGTGCCTGTAATCCCAGCTACTCAGGAGGCTGAGGCAGGAGAATTGCCTGAACCCAGGAGGCGGAGGTTGCGGTGAGCCGAGATCGCGCCATTGCACTCCAGCCTGGGTAACAAGAGCGAAACTCCGTCTCAAAAAAAAAAAAGAAGAAATGGTCTCTGGAGGTAGGTAATAGGATGACATGGTTCTTGACCTCGGCTTATTCCTTAAAGGATTTTTAAGGTCAGTAAATACTACACAGTTAAAATAACCCAAACCACAAGGAAATAAACACACTGAGCAAGAACAAGTCAAAACACAAGTACCTACCAAACTTATTTAATTATCTGTTAAGCAAACATATTTACTGTTTACAGAAAACTAACAGGTTTGAATCTTAGGGAAAAGGAAGCCGTAAGATTAAATAAGCAAATAGTAAAGCATCTAGAAATTATAATAATAACTGAATATATGGGGTGAATAGTAGATTAGACATAATAAAAGAAAAAATTAGTAAAATAGAAGATAGGTTGTAATTACCCAGAAAGCAGCATGAAAACTGGAAAATATGTAAACTGTGGAAGAGTTTATGAGACATAGGTGATAGATTAAGAAGTTCTAACACACTTACTGGAATCCCAGAAAGGTAAAATATTTTAAGAAGGCTAAAGTTTTTCTGTAACCAATGAAAGATTCCACTTCAGATTTAAGCATCCAAATAAGTTCTTAACGGGATAAATAACAGAGAAACTGCAGAATACCAGATAGAAAGATGTTGATCTCTAAACATTTAACAAGGGGCTGGGAGCTGAGGGAAATGATGATATCTGCAAGAAAGGACAGACAGACAGACATGGATGAGGAATAACAGTGGAAACCAGAGGGCTGTACAGTCAGATACTCAATATGGCGGGGAGAGGGGAGGGTGGATTGTCAACCTAGAGTTTTATGGCCACCAAAAACTACCAAGAATGAGGATAAAAACACATTTGCAAATAAATAAAAACAAAGTTTCTTACCACCAGATGGTTCCTAAAAGTAATCGTAAAGACTGTTTGCTTAGAAAGAAGTAAATTATCCCAGCTGGAAGACATGTGGAACAAAGAAAGTGGTGAATCTCTGAATAAATCTAAACAATATGTGGATCGTATATAAAATAATACTGTCTTGAAGATTTAATGGAAATAATATACAACATCCATAACAAAGTATGAAGGGTAAATCAAAGTGAATACGCAAATTAGTAGAAAAGAGGAGGTCTCAGAAACAGACTGATCCCCGCGTGTTCAGAGACTGCATCATGGAATCGTGTCTCACCAGTGCAGAGAGAGGACGGACCTTCAACGCACCATGCTGAGACAGTTCCAGCTGTCCCTCCGTATCTGTGGATGTTGGCTACAGAATCCCCCTGAGGATTCCAAAATCTGTAGAAGCTCAGGTTCCTTACGTAAAATGGCATAGTGTTTTTGTTGTGTTGTTTTTTGAGACGGAGTCTTACCTTGTCACCCAGGCTGGATTGCAGTGGCACGATCTTGGCTCACTACCACCTCCGCCTCCTGAGTTCAAGTGATTCTCGTGCCTCAGCCTCACGAGTAGCTGGGACTACAGGCACACACCACCATGCCTGGCTGATTTTTTTAGTACAGGTGGGCTTCACCATGTTGGCCAGGCTGGCCTCAAACTCCTGACCTTAGGTGATCTGCCTGCCTCAGCCTCCCAAAGTGCGGGGATTACAGGTGTGAGTCACCACGTCTGGCCCCTAGTGTTTGCATATAACCTACATGCATCTTCCCATGATAGTGTAAATCATCTCCCGGTTACTGTGATACCCGATACAATGTAAATGTTGTGTGAAAAGTTGTTATACGCTATTGGCTTTTTTCATTTGTTATTATTTTCTATTGTCATATCGTTATGTGTTATGGTTTTAATTCTTGAATAATTCCCATCTGCAGCTAGTTGAACGTGTGGATACGGCGGACCGACAGTACCTGTCCACATGAATGACAAACGCTGTTGTGCTTTGGCGTCTTTCTTTTCCTGGTATCAGACCAAGATGTAATGGCCTTTAAGTCTCGTACCCTGACTCTTCTCTTGCAGTTTGGTAAAATGTTTTATCACTGCTGCTGGCTGTGAAGACCTCGCCTCGGTTCTCATCAGCAATCAGAACCTGAAGAATCTGGAAATTGGGTGCAACGAAATAGGAGATGTGGGCGCGAAGCTGCTGTGTGGGGCGCTGACGCACCCTGATTGCCGCGTAGAGGTTCTCGGGTGGGTATTGCCGAGTTCCTGGTCATGTTTTCATGCGTGGCAGAGATGGAGGATTGATGGGAACAAAGAGAAAGGTGAAAACTCTAGCAGGACAGCGTAGCAGCTAGCTGTGGCTGCGTAATGAACCAGCGTCAAACTTCAGGGCTTCAGGCAATGGGCGCTTCAGTTGCTGGTGGCGCTGCTTGTCTGGGCGGGCGTCACTGACCTCGGCCAGGTGTGCTGAGGAAGCTGCGGTTAACTGAGGCGTTGGCTGGGCTGGGTTGGCCTCGCCGTATGGGGTGGAGGTTGGCCGGCTGGGCTGGCTGTCCCCTTGGGGATGACAGGTGTGAGTGGGCCCATCTCCTTACCTGAGGGGTTAGCCTGAGCTCATTGATGTGGCATCTGTATCAGTTTTCCAGGGTTTGAAAAGTACCACGGACTGGGCGGCTTAGATAACACATGCGTCCTTCGGCAGCTCTGGAGGCTGGAAGTCTGAGAGCAAGGTGTCGGCAGGGTTGGTCCCTTCTGAGGGCCCCGAGGGAGAATCTGCTCCAGCCCTTCTCCTTGCCTTGTTGATGGCTGTCTTCGCTCTGTGTCTTCACGTTCTCTTCCCTCTGTGTGTGTGTGTCTGTCCAGATTTCCTCTCACAAGGATACTGGTCACACGATTAGCACCCCCACAATGTTGTCATTTTAGCTTAGTTGCCTCTAGAAAGACCGTGTATTCAAATACCACATGTTGAAGTACTGCGGTTAGGACTTCAACATAGAGATTTTGGCAGGGACAGAAATGACCCCCCAGTAGCATCTCGGGAGTTCAAGAGATGAAGTATAGAAAGAGTCCAAGATCACTGGGTGTGATGGCTTATTCCTGTAATCCCAGAACGATGGGAGGCTGAGGTGGGCCAATAGCTTGAGCCTAGGAGTTCAAGAGCAGCCTGGGCAACATGGTGAAACCCCATCGCCGGGCGTGGTGTGTGCCTGTAGCCCCAGCTACTCAGGAGGCTGAGGCAGGAAAATTGCTAGAGCCCAGGAGGTTAAGATTGCATTGAGCCATGATCATGCCACTGCACTCCAGCGGGGGTGACAGAGAGAGACCCCATCTCCAAAGAATAAAAAAGCATCCAACATGGTGGCCCAGAACTCTCCTAACCTTGTTTCCGTTGTATTAGATTATCCAAAGCAAGGTGTGAAGCCAACTCAGATTCACTGGAAATAGACTCTCAGTGGAATGAGCTGCAAAGTCACATCGCTGTGGGCAGGGATACAGAGAAGAATCGACAGTCACCTACCCCAGAGGCATGAGCTGATGTCCTCAACAGCGGACTGTGAGAGACTGCGCTTGAGGCAGTGGGGCGTGCCTCGGCTCGACATCTAGCTCGCATCCTGTCCTGCCTCCACCTGAGGCTGGGGCCACTTCTCACCGCGTGTCTTTTTATTGCAGGTTGGAAGACTGTGCGTTGACAAGCACCTGCTGTAAGGATCTCGCATCTGTTCTCACCAGCAGTAAGACCCTGCAGCAGCTAAACCTGACCTTGAACGCCTTGGACCACGGAGGGGTGGTTGTGCTCTGTGAGGCCCTGAGACACCCAGAGTGTGCCCTGAGGGTGCTCGGGTGAGTGGGGTCTGTTGTTCTCTATAGGGAGAGTGCTCGGGGCTAAGAAGGGATTGGCGAAGACCTGCAGCGTCATCACATTGCATTTAAACTGTAAATGATGTTCCTTGGCATCATCCACTCCTGGTTGTTGCATAAGTAAGAACCAAGCAGGTGAGTATAAAACTCTTACTTAACCAGAGTAAGTGGTGAATGGTGAGTGCCCAACAAATGGAAGCGCTTGTGAAGCAGCCTCCTCGTCTGGGGTCACACCCACGGCCTTGGGAATCAAGGGCGCACACAGGGTGAGGTTAAGAGCAGAAGTTTAATGGGTAAAAGAAGGAGACTAGCTCTCTGCTGCAGAGAGCGGGCTTGGAAAAACGGGTTGCCGGATCCATGGTGAAACGCAGGGGCTTTTGTAGAAGAGCCGGTGGGGTGGCGGTGTTTAATCTACGTTGGGCGTGAAGAAGTGTTATGACCAGGTGCGCCGTTAGCATAGCGTGCACGTGTCCGGCAGCCCCCACCCCAGTACTTATTAAGCAGGTGGGTTGTCTGCCTGAGCTGTGCCGTGCTGCCTGCTTCTTTTTTACTGAACACACGCTAACAAAAAGGGGAATACGGAGCTTCCGCGGTGGACATGTGCCTGACCCCCGAGTAGCCCTTTGCATTGGCGCAGCTGCTGGCATTGCCCCGTGCAATCTTCCAGCTTCCTAACTGATGTTTGTGGCTCCATTTTTCAGGATGCCCTTTGCTGGAAAAGAAGTGATTTCTCGGGCAGCTTTTTGTTAGAAGGGAAGGTCTGCTGAGGACTCTCTTGCCCTCACTGTCCACCTAAATAATTTCTTATTAGAAGTTATATATAAATATATTTTAAATATAATTTATAAATACAAGTTATATGTATGTTTGTAAGACATTGACAAATATAAACTTACGTTTTATTTTTTGAGACGGAGTGTCGCTCTTGTTACCCAGGCTGGAGTGCGATGGTGCAACCTCCGCCTCCTGGGTTCAGGCAGTTCTTCTGCCTCAGCCTCCTGCGTAGCTGGGATTACAGGCACACGCCACCATGCCCGGCTTATTTTTTGTATTTTTAGTAGAGATGGGGTTTTACCATGTTGACCAGGATGGTCTTGATCTCTTGACCTCGTGATCCACCCACCTCAGCCTCCCAAAGTGCTGGGATTACAGGCTTGAGCCACTGCGCCCGGCCACTTATGTTTTTATTTATATATTTATAATTACATATAATCCCACAAACATTATTTTACTAGATACCTATAAAATCCTTAACAGTTATTTTTCTCATCCATTTTCCCCTACTGTTTTCAAACCAATATGAGATCAAGGCACTCATGGGCAGTTACTAGGCGGGTCATTTCCAGAGAAGAGCAAGATAAGATGATGAGTTAAAAACTGTTGCAGCTTGAACCCTGAAGAGCATTCACTGATTTTCCCCTTTTGTGAAGATACAGGTTTGTTTTCTTGAAGTCCATCCTTATAGATCTCCACCTGGAAAGGCGAAGTGCCCAGCATCATTTCTTGCTCATTTTAATGTTTGCTAAAGATTCAGAGTGTAGACTGCCAAGGCAGACGCGTGGTTGAGGGGAAGCACTCGAACTGTCTGTTCCGAGTCATGGAGGACCATTTGTCCTCTGGCCTTGCTGTGTTTGGCCCTGTAACCCTGAGCAAGGCATTGGGCCTCTTTGATTATCAGCCTCCTCTCCACAAAATAGGGGTGATTATTTGGCATGGTAATTATGAAAATATCCACCAGATAATGTGATAAATAAGACAGAACTAAATGAGTTTTCATCTTCCTCCAGTCCCAGCCATAGTCAGTCTCACAAAGATGTGTATTAAGATACATACTTGCGGCCGGGCGCGGTGGCTCAAGCCTGTAATCCCAGCACTTTGGGAGGCCGAGGTGGGTGGATCACGAGGTCAAGAGATCAAGACCATTCTGGTTAACATGGTGAAACCCCGTCTCTACTAAAAATACAAAAATTAGCTGGGCATGGTGGCGCGTGCCTGTAATCCCAGCTACTCAGGAGGCTGAGGCAGGAGAATTGCCTGAACCCAGGAGGCGGAGGTTGCGGTGAGCCGAGATCACGCCATTGCACTCCAGCCTGGGTAACAAGAGCGAAACTCCGTCTCAAAAAAAAAAAAAGATACATACTTGCACTAAAAGAACATAGCTTTCTACAACAGTGGGGGACAGTGGCACATAAACAGATGCCAAATGGAGACCAGACCTTACCCACAAAAGGAAGGACCAAGACATGGTGGTACTTAATCCTTGTGTCTGATTCAAAGCAATGATACCATGTATCAGGGGTGGGGGGTTCCAGAAACAAATTGCTGGAATTTGTATCCAGGATACCAGTTTCTGGTTTTGTGACCTTAACATTGCTTGTTCTCACTGTGTTCATCACAAATCAGGACAGTCATGCTACCTCATAAAGCTGTTGTGAAAATTAAATGAGGTGTGTGTAAAAGCCTTAGCAGGGGGCCAGGACCCAGGTGCTCGAATGATAGAAACTACCTATATTTTATCTTTGAAAAAATAAAAATAGCTCCAGGCTTTCTCCCTAACTTCCCTTGACTTGTTGCAAACAGAAATGTGTGTGTAGTTCATGCCTTCTATCACCAGTTCTGGACATTGGTTCTGTCCAGTAACATGTTGGAGCCAGCTCCTACAAGCTGGTGAGGGCCAGTTGTGTGTTCTGGGCTCTGTAACTGTTGAGTGACAGCAAGCGGGCATCTAGAAATTGGCCGTGACTGACTTGGAGAATTTACACCACAGAAAACGGCAGAGCTATAAATTAGGACTTTTTTCCTGGCGATCCGGGGTAACATTTAGCAGCATACCACTGCATTTGATGTGTATGCCTTTCCTCTTGGAGGCAACGTCAGGGTTTCGTAGGCTTGTCCAGGGATGAATTATGGAGAACGATGAGCTCCAGCAGGGGAGGAAGTATGTGAATTAAAAACAGAACCTTTGAAAATATTTTACCAGGCTGAAAAAAGCTGATTTTGGTGAGGAAACGCAGGCACTTCTGATGGCTGAGGAAGAGAGAAATCCCAAATTGACAATCGTAGACCACCTCTGAAGCAGACACAACCACGTGGGCAGAAATCTGATGGTGAGGAGCCTGGCTGTGACTGGTACACCCGCCAAGGACAGGGACTGGGGCCCTTAGGTTACTCTGCACGCAGGAGCTGCAAATCATTGACACTCTGAGTTGTGAGTTTTCTGGCACCCCATTCACGTTTCATACGATGTTCGTGGTTTTTATTAGCTCTGTGGCCTTGGATGAGCCACTGGAAGACCTTCATGGTTAAATTTCTATCCTGTCTCACAATGACCCCTTAACCCCTCAATAAAGTGTTGTATTTCCACACATTGGAAAACCCTTTTGCCTTGTTTGTATAAATTTAAGGGGTCCAAATGCAGTTTCGTTACATGAATATATTGTGTAGTAAAATCTGGGCTTTTAGCGTACCCATCACCCAGATAGTGTTCGTCGTACTCATTAGGTAATTTCCCGTCCTGCATCTCCCTCGCACCCTCCTCAGCCTCCGGTGTCTCCTGTTCCACACTCTTTATGTGTATGTGTTTAGCTCCAACATACAAGTGAGAACATGCATTATTTGACTTCGGTTCTGAGTTACCTCACTTAAGATCGTGGCTTCCAGCTCCATCCATGTTGCTGCAAAAGGCGTGATTTTTTTTAATGGCTGAAAAGGATTCCATTGTATATAAATCATGTTTTCTTTATCCAGTCATCTGTTGCTTCTGTGACTTTGGAATTCCATGCTGATTCCATGACTTTGCTATTGTGAATAGTGCTTCAGTTAAACACACGGATGCATGTATCTTTTTAATACAATTTCTCTTGCTTTGGGTGGACCTCAGTAGTGAGATTTCTGGGCAAAACGGCAGCTCTATGTTTAGTTCTCTGGGAAATCTCCATACTGTCTGGAAAACCTGGCAACAGTGTTTGCTACTGGTGAATGACTGGAACAGAGTGTAAATGTAGTACCCCACTCCCGCCATGTTGGCCTGGAAAGACACTGGCCATACTGACAGCACAAGAAAGGCGGGTCTGAGTTGGGCACCCTGGTTTCTATCGGTCCTCCTAGGACTCCACCTCGGGCTCCTGCTCTGTTCTTGCCCGATGAAAGCACCTTTTTTTAATGGGTACATGATACTAGTATGTATTTTGGGGTTCATGTGAATGTATGGGTCATTTCCTTGGCATAGCTAGTATTCCCTCTCCCTGTAGTCTTGGCCTCTCATATTCTTGCCCAGACTCCACTCTGGCTCTCCTTTCCTTATGGGAACTCTTGAGTTCTGAGACTACCCTGTCTCCCCTCCCTTTGAGTAAAGAGCTTTTGGGAGTGGGAGCCAAAAGCCAAGTGTACGCCTGGGGGTATTTCACTCCGGAACTTCTGTGCCACTGATCCACGGATTTAGGAGTGAAGATTGAGAAAATCACCTATCTGAAGGTCCATCAATGGATAAATGGATAAAGAAAATGCAGCATAGACACAAAATGAAATAGTCTTCAAAAGGAAGGAAATTCTGATATGTGACACAACATGGAAGAGCCTTGAGGACGTTATGGTAAATGACAAATACCATGAATTCTGCTTCTGGGAGGTACTTACTGTAGTCAGATTCATAGAGGCAAAAAGTAAAATGGTGGTTACCAGAGGCCAGGGGACCGAGGAGAAAATGGTGAGTTATTTAACAAGTACAGAGTTTGTTTTGCAGGATGGAAAAGTTCTGGAGAGGGATGGTGGTGGTGATGGTTGTACAACCTTGTGAGTGTGCTTAATACCTCAGGGCTGTACGCTTCAAATGGGCTCACGTGGCAAATTTCCTATGTTTTACCACGATAAAAAAGTGGGGAGAGAAAAAGGAAAATTTGGAAATTCATTGAGTCATCTGTAAAATGGTCATGATTAAGGACTGTCGTGATCAAATACCCAAACAGCTTGAAGAACCCAAGAGTGGACTTTCCTAGCTACCTTCATTATGTTTGAGATGTCCATTTCCATTCCCAGAAGGAACAGTAACATTTTTCTCCTAACAGCGCCCCCCCAACTCCGTCCCGACACACACACACTGAAAGTAGAGGTCAGTAGAAAGAGGGAGAAGGAAAAGCTGATAGATACTGAGCTGGCCGGGCACAGTGGCTCACGCCTGCAGTCCCAGCACTTTGGAGGCCAAGTTAGGAGGATCACATGAGCCCAGGAGTTACAAACGAGCTTGGGAAGCATAGCGAGACCCTACCTCTATAATTGTTTTTAAAAAATTATCTAGGCCTGGGGACTCATGCCTGTGGTCCCAGCTACTCAGGAGGCTGGGGAAGGAGGATCACTTGAGCCTGGGAGGTTGAGACTGCAATGAGCCACGATCACACTAGCCTGGGTGACAGAGCAAGACGTTGTCTGAAAAACATTTTTATAAGTCATAAAAGAGAGGTATTGAGCTATAAAGTCTAAGATACAAGTAAAGAATCTTAATGACAGGACTGAAGGAGATTATTCACCTAATTAATACATTGACAGGTGCTTACCACAAGCTGGATATTTTGCGTGTTATTTTAATTCTTGCAAAATCTGAGGTTGATGCTGTAAGACCCTTCTTGTAATGAGAAAATTGGTTTAAAGGGTACAAGTAACTGCTGCCAGGCTAAGAAGCTGTCACTCTGTGCATCCCTTTTTCCATCAAAGCTCTTGCATTCTTCCTGGAATTCCATCTGTATCTCTTCTTCAGTCTAAGGATCTCCTGAGGTGTTCCAGTATGCTACCACCTGTGTCTTATACCCTGAGATACGTGCCAACCTGGACCCACCCCAGCCGCACACTACTCCTGGGCACATCTAGCCACACTTTTAAGATTGCAAGGTACTGGGTAAGTGAGGAAATTGCGTGTCAAAAGAGACAGCAGGGTGGGTAAGAGGAGGAGTGGGAGGGAAGGTGAGTGAAGCTGGAGACCTGAGTAATCCCGTGACCTTCCTCATAATCACAGGCTTGAAGTTAGACGGTTGGTCACAAGGTACTTTGTGTTGGTTCACGGGCTTCATAATTTGGAGTGAGCCTAGAAAAAAAGTTCAGCAGTCAAGATACACTGGAAGCCCGTCTCTCTTCTCTCTTCCTGAATCACCAATTAAGGCTTCCAGACAGGCAAGACCTGTTACGGACTCCCCCAGTCCTACAAAGTGACATTGGCATGACTGTGGAGGGGCTTTGGAATAATCTGAGTTAATCTAAAAAAAAAAAATGCTGCTTTAAGATACTTTGATGTAATTGAATTCTAGGACAAATTTAGGAACTGGAGAATAAAAATTCCCTAAATGCAGAAATTTAGGGAGTAGACTAAATGTGATTGACTTGAGTATTGATTATTAAACAGAAGTTTTGTAATTGAGAATTTGTGGATCAAGCACTAAACAGAGGATATCCCTGTGTTATTTTTTATTTTTAAGACAGTCTCAGTCTGTCACCAGGCTGGAGTGCAGTGGCGTGATTTTGGCTCACTGTAACCTCTGCCTCCCAGGTTCAAGCGAGTCTCAAGCCTCAGCCTCCCAAGTAGCTGGGATCACAGGCATGTGCCATCACGCCCAGCTAATTTTTGTGTTTTTAGTAGAGATGGGGTTTCACCATGTTGGCCAGATGGTCTCGATATCTTGACCTTGTGATCTGCAAGCCTCGGCCTCCCAAAGTGCTGGGAATACAGGGCATGAGCCACCACACCCAGACATACCCGTTACTTTTAAAGAAAAAATGGAGAAGTTGTGGGGTAGTCTTTACCTTGTCAGATTATTAGAAGTAACATGGTTGGCTGGTTTGCAGTGGCTTATGCCTGTCATCTCAGCACTTTGGGTGGCCAAGGCTGGAGGAATGGTTGAGCTCAGGAGTTTAAGGCCAGTCTGGGCAGCATGGCAAAATCCTATCTCTACTAAAACAGACTTCATCGTGGCATACACCTGTAGTCCCAGCTACTGAGGAGGTTGAAGTGGGAGGACCCCTTGAGTCTGGAAGGCACAGGCTGCAGTGAGCCCAGACGGCGCCACTGCATTCCAGCCTGGGTGGCTGAGGAAAATAAAAATGTTAAAAAGCCAATTTTTTTTTTTTTTTTTTGAGGAGGAGTTTCACTCTTGTTACCCAGGCTGGAGTGCAATGGCGCGATCTTGGCTCACCGCAACCTCCGCCTCCTGGGTTCAGGCAATTCTCCTGCCTCAGCCTCCTAAGTAGCTGGGATTACAGGCACGCGCCACCATGCTCAGCTAATTTTTGTATTTTTAGTAGAGACGGGGTTTCACCATGTTGACCAGGATGGTCTCGATCTCTCGACCTCGTGGTCCACCCGCCTCGGCCTCCCAAAGTGCTGGGATTACAGGCGTGAGCCACCGCGCCCGGCCAAAAAGCCAATTTTAATAGCTGGTAGCAGAATATGATTTGATGAGATGAAGACTAAGGCACTTAACCTGTGTTCTTTTTATTTTTCATCTTTATTGCTGTCAGTTTTTTTGAGATGGAGTTTTGCTCTTGTTGCCCAGGCTAGAATGCAATGGCATTATCTCGGCTCACTGCAACTCCTGCCTCCCGGGTTCAAGTGATTCTCCTGCCTCAGCCTCCAGAGTAGCTGGGAGTACAGGTATGCACCACCACGCCCAGCTAATTTTGTATTTTTAATAGAGACGGGCTTTCTCCATGTTGGTCAGGCTGGTCTCGAACTCCCAACCTCAAGTGATCGACCTGCCTTGGCCTCCCAAAGCGCTGGGATTACAGGCATGAGCCACCGCACCCAGCCAACAGTATCTTTAAAATGAGTTCACGTACCTCTCCCACTCTTCGTATCCCAGACTTCATCTACAAAGGGCAACAAAAATACAGAAAAAGGAAGAGAATGAAGTATTTTAAGGACTCTGGGGTTTACTATGTCTCATAGTGAGAACGTGGATATAGAAGGATGATAGCATTCAATTTATTGAACGATCCCATCGGGTGGGTCAGATATTAAAAGAGAAAAGTTGGGTTTATAGGGAAGTTATTTGACTTACTATCTCTGTAATCTGTTGTAAAGCACTCTTTCAATATCTTTGCTTTAAATCAGTGAAGTAAGGCTATCCTTACAGGGCTTTGGTAAGGATTCAGACCTTCTACAAAGGTGCTTTAAGCTACAAAATGCTAAATGGATCTCCAGCTAGTCCATAAGACTGCTTTTGATAGCATCTGGTTGTTGAATAATAGTGCAAGAAAGACTCTTGGTGTTGGGCTGGAGAGAGAAAATTATAACTTAATCTTATTCTTTCTAGAAATTTCCATCCATGACATTGATTTCACATCTCCTGTGCAGGATACAGCTTCTTTCATATTTTCGGGTGAGTAAAGAGCAT